TATATATATATATATATATATATATATATATATATATATATATATATATATTTATTATGATATAATTTTTAAATGAATAATTATATATATATATATATAATTGTTTATTTAAAAATTATATAATAAATATGTTATATAAATATATATATATATATATATATATATATATATATAATTATTTATTTAAAAATTATATCATAAATATGTTATAAAATCACAAACTTATATCCATACTTCTTATTTTATATGATGGACTCTCCCATCGAGTTCGACGTATGAGGTTCCGACGACGACGAGCTAATTATCTGCATGCCTATGACGGGCATGACTTTTGAAACCGGCTCGAGAATTGCACAAAAGACCAGAAACATTACAAGAGAATGTATTGTATCCAATTGAAGCAGGAACACTGTTGGCTGTCTTATTTTTCTTTCGTGTTTCACGCAGTCGACTGATGCTTACTTCTTGATGGTGCATTATTCCTGAATGGCAGCTAGAATGATACTCCGATCTCTTCATATCTACCTCTTCAAAGTTCTTGAATGGAATGTTGATGCACGAAAGGTTGCTTTTCTGTTTATCTTTATACTTGAGACAAGGTCTACCAACATTTCTATGACCACTATGGAGTTCACTGCAGACAAGAACTTTTGGTATGCGATCATCACTCATCCTTGCCACATGTCCAGCCCAACGTAGTTGCGTTTACATTATGAAGGTTTCGATGGTACCAATCTTGCATTTCTTTGGTACCTTCAAAGATTCGTTAAAAAATGACAATACTTGAAAAACTTCTCTAAAGTTAATAAAAAATAAAGTGTTATCGTCAAAATGTTTATGTTATTATTAAAAGGAAAACCAAAGGATTTTTTGATTATTAAATTATATTTTTAATCGTTTTTAGAAACGTTAAAATTCTTTTTTTCCATGAGTCAGTGAGTGACCCTCAATTAATATGGAAAATTGTAGGGTCTTTTTGCGGTGCAAAACATTTATTTAGAAATTCTTGAAAAAATAAATTATAAGCAGAAGTTTTTGGCGAATTTAAATCATCAACTTTTTTGGTAAACACGATCCACAGTTAATGAAAATTTGCTCTGAGTAATAAAATAATAAATACAATAAAAAATAAGACATTATGTTGAAACTTGACTAATGCATGGAATAATAATACAACACAAAATGTACTTAGAACAAAATGTATTGAAACAAGAAAGTGTACACAATATTTACATATAGTCTTTTGTATATTCTTGGGAAGACCGTTCCTGGAGAATGTGCTGACTTAGTCGCAGTCGGGCAGAGTCTCTGGATTGAATCTCTTGATTCCTTTCCCCGTCTTCCCGGTACCAACCATATTTATATGGTCGGTACTCCACTATGAAAATTAGGTGGATCCTACCACAACACATTATTTAATTAGAAAAGTTTTTAATTGATTTTATGGATGAGATACATTATAGATTTGTTTTAATTTTTTCTTTTATTTTTATGAGAATAATTTATAAACTTTTAAAGACGAATTAATGTATTTATTTGTAGAGGTTAGGTATATTAAATTTTAGGTATCGCTTTTCGTTAGAGATAACTTTCGGCTAACATGAGCCATCTTCAGAGTGGTTAAACAGACATTTTAACAAAGATATTCACCATCAAAGATACTATTTTGTTATGATGACATACAAGATTACTATGCGAGGATAACGTTAAAAAGAATCTTCAGATATTTGAGACTATCTATATTAAAACGAAACAATCCACACTCAACAAAATTACATTACAAATTAGTCACAATACATTACACTGCATCTAGAAATTGGATTTGTTGTTAATATTTCGGCCTCTCGCATGTTATGACGTCATAGAGCAGACATCTTGAGCTTATGAACTGCGTCTGCTATTCTGCGACCGTTATCGTCGCATAGCAATCTTCTATATCAACATAACAAAATATTATTTTCGATGGTGACTATCTTTGTTAAAATGACTGTAGATGAAGATGGCTCAAATGAGTCGAAACCTTAGAGCAAGGTAGAGCTTAATAAAAAAAATATCCAAATGTTGGAGAATTTTTGTCTTTATTTGTACCCGAAATTAATGCAAACATATGAACATTAGAACGGCTCCTGATCGTACATAATAGACATTCAATATCTGTTATATTTAACAGTATATGTTTAAATACACACACACACACACACACACACACACACATACACACATATAGCGAGACTCTTCGCAGATGCGAATTGAGTCACTGTCGGTCATTGGGCGTGTTTCTAAAAATAAATACGCTAAAAATCGTGCCGACGGCTTAATGGTTAGAATCTCCGACTGACACCAATTCAGTGGGGTTTCGATCTTAGCTATAGGCAACCGGATGTCTAGCCACACTGATGAGCTGCGAAACAGTCTGTCTGTGGATGACGTTATATATATATATATATATATATATATATATATATATAACGAGAGAATGGGATACCGAGATATAACGATACATGTGCGTACGAAAGAGCGACGCTGGGAATTTTAAATAAAAAGTCTTTTTTAGATGTGTTTTTGGTAAAAAAGCTTCTCGATTTAATTTAGATTCTTTTCCCCATTATATATATATATATATATATATATATATATATATATATATATATATATATATATATATATATATATATATATATATATATATATATATTTCATTAAAAACGACAGACAAGGTACTACGGTTAAGCTTTTTATTTAATTTTTCTTGTGTTCGAAAAAAAGATTAAAAATAATGGAACTTTTAATAATAAGAAAGAAAAAGCCAACTCTTAACAATATTAACTACGAACAAGGCCACAATGTGCTAACCGTATTCGGAAATTAAAACATCTCTACTACACACTAAGACATATACACACTCAATTAAGCTGAAAAATCGAATCATCCTTGATAATGGCTAAAGGTATAGCCGAAAGCGCTCGGAACTATAAAACATTTGGACAGTTCTTACACACTTTTTGTCTAGAAAAGAAAGCTCTTGTTCGGAGACAAGAAAAATTAAATTAAAAGCTTAACCGTAGTACCTTGTCTGTCGTTTTTAATGAAACATGCATAGACGAAGGATTGCTGCCTAAATATACAACTATATATATATATATATATATATATGAAATTCATTTATATATATTTTCTGTTTATTTTTAATTGATAATTTAAGTAAATGCGGTGTTTTCAATAAACAGTATTAATTACATTTACCGACCTGAATTTTTGTTTTCTCCGTCAGGAATCGAACCTGTAACCCGCGTGGTAGCCATCATGTGGTCTGCTGTCCTGTTAACCATTCAGCCGCAAAGAAGCGTCTGGTTAGCAAAGTTCGAATGACTGCTTATAAACAAGAAATCTTCAGTGATCTTTCCCGAACGATCATGCTCACGAAACGTACCTTAACGTAAACATTGACAACATATTATTAAATGGATTATTAAGTCTGACATTTATTTAATATATTTTCTATTTATGAGTTATTTTTAATAGATACAATTAATTTAAGTAACTGCTCCTTTTTTTCCTTTTTTTTTATATAAATAAACAGTATTCATTACATTTACCATCCGTAAAGTTCGAAAGCTAACCAGACACTTCTTTGTTGTCGAATGATTGACGGCACATTAGATCAAATGATGATTCCTATTCATTCTGGTAAATATAATTACTAATCTTTATTTAGAAAACAGAGCAGTTACTTAAATAAATTGTATCTATTAAAAATAACTCATAAATAGAAAATGTATTAAATAATTGTTGGTCTTAATCCATTTCATCATATATATATATATATATATATATATATATATATATAATATATATATCTTAAGAAATATAGTCTTAAGATATTTATGGGATAAAAATTGCACAATATCAGAGATAGAGCGTGTGTAAATATAAAAGTGAACATAGAAGTCAACACTTAGAGGCGACAGTCTGTTTCATGGTAGATGCAATCGTCAGGCCACGAGTGTTGTTATTTTTATCGGCTAGCATGAAACAGACAGTCGCCTCTAAGTTTTGACTTCTATGTTCACTTTTATATATATATATATATGTGTGTGTGTGTGTGTGTATGTGTGTGTGTGTGTGTGTGCGTGTGCATGTGTGTGTGTGTGTCTATATTTCTGAGATGAGGTATTATGTACACTATTTAGCCGAGAAAAATAACAGCACTCGTGGCCTGACGATTGAATCTGGCATGAAACAGACTGTCGCCTCTAAATGTTGACTTCTATGTTCACTTTTATATATATATATATATATATATATATATATATATATATATTTCTGAGATGAGGTATTATGTACACTATCTACATTATTCGGACTATTGTCCTTATCTTTGTTGCCATATTTATCACAACGTTTCGGCCTTTGTACGCTCCAGCGTTCTTCATGTGGTTGGAATGTCGAACTGAACCCTTTATTTCGTTCACTGGGGTAGACTGTTCTAGTTTCACACTCAATGTCTTTTGCATGTCAGTTGTCAGTTATCTCCCCTAATTCCCCTCTCCAAGTTCTCCACCGCCTTAACCAGGTATTGAACTCACACTCTTTGGGCCCTGTCACTGGATCTAACTAACGCCTTTAGGACACATGGTACAGTGTTCATTTACAAATTTCAACCACCTTCAACCACCTGCCGGTGCGTACAATGGCCGAAAACGTTGTGATAAATATGGCAACAAAGATGAGGGACAATAGTCTGAATAATGTAAATAGTATATATATATATATATATATATATATATATATATATATATATATGTGTGTGTGTGTGTGTGTGTGTGTGTGTGTGTGTGTGTGTGTGCACTACATCACCCAAAGTGGTGCTCACCTTCTTATTTCCTACTTTGTCGCGTGAGGTACACTAATATTTGTCACTCGACAGCGCATCTCGAGGAAAGGGCCTGTCCGTCATAATAAAGCAACCACCCTCTCTCGAAAAATCAAGTTATTAGAAGATGACACGCAGAGGGACAAATTTGTGGTCGCTTCCTGTTGAAAATCTACACCGTACACGCGAAAGTATCAATTGAGCAGGGCATCGACTTGTTGCCTCAGCAAGGTGGGTGAGTGAAGTTCGTGCGATAAGTGGGGGGTGCTTGTAGTGGGGATGCGTGTAACAAGATACGTCACAGTTAAACAACCCCCAGGCAATACCCAACTTAGTATGTTTTTAAATAATGCAAGCACGCAAGCGTTGAAAAAAAGAATCCACTTACGCTGTCATAGATACGTCATCTCTAAAATTAACTGAAGAATTTTGATGTATACTGTAATTTAAGATCGATATAATAATATACACCTACATAGTCTAACGACTCCGTTCGTTAAAAAAAGCATAATTTTGCCATATCTTTTGTAGATTAGCATTAGACCTATCTTACTTTTTTTTTTATTTATCTTTCTTAACTATTTGTTTTTTGTTTTATTCTTTCTTTCTTTCTTTTTGTTCCACCGGTCTTTTTTTCTTTACTTTCTTTCTTTTTCTATACTTTTATGTTTATTCTCTAATTCTTTCTCACTTTGCTAATTTTCTTTCTTTCGTTATTCATTTATTTATATTCCATCTTTCTTTCTTTGTCATTTTTTCTTTCTTTCTTTCTTTCTTTCTTTCTTTCTTTCTGTTCCATCGGTCTTTTTTTTCTTTATTTTTTTCTTTTCTATACTTTTATGTTTATTCTCTAATTCTTTCTCTCTTTGCTAATTTTCTTTTTTTCGTTATTCATTTATTTATATTCCATCTTTCTTTCTTTGTCATTTTTTCTTTCTTTCTTTCTTTTTTGCTTAATTTATGTTCCACCTCTCTTTCTTTGTCAAGTTTTTTCTTTCTTTATTGATTTATGTTTAATCACTCTTTCTTTTCTTTCATTCTCTCTGTATTTATGTATTTTCCCTCTCCCTCTTTCATTGTTTCTTTCTTTTTCTATTATTCATTTGAGTTTCAACTGTTTTTATTTCTTTGATAATTTTATTTATGTCCAATTCTCTCTGAGACTTTTCTTTCTTTATGTTCCCTCTCACTTTGCTAACTTTTTTTTTCTTTCTTTCTTTCTTTCTTTCTTTCTTTTTTCTTTTTCTTTCTTTCTTTATCTTCCATCTCTCCTTGCTAACTTTCTTTTTTTTAGGATCAGCCTCTCTTTGCTAACGTTCTTCCTTTCTTTCTTTCTTTCTTTCTTTCTTTCTTTAGGATCAATCTCTCTTTCTTTCTTTGTAAACTTTCTTTCTTTCTTTCTTTACGATAAGCCTCTCTTTCTTTCTTTGCTACCTTTTTTTTTTTTATGATCAATCTCTCTTTCTTTCTCTGCTAACATTTTTCTTTCTTTCTTTCTGTCTTTCTTTGCTGACTTCTTTTCTTTCATTCTTTCTTTCTTTCTCTATTTATGATAAACCTCTCTTTTTTTCTTTACTAACTTTCTTTCTTATCAACTTCTCTTTCTGTCTTTGCTAACTTTTTTCTTTCTTTCTTTCTGTCTTTCTTTGTTAACGTCTTTTCTTTATTTATTTATTTCTCTCTTCATGATAAACCTCTCTTTCTTACTTTGCTAACTTTCTTTCTTTCTTTCTGATCAACCTCGCTTTCTTTTTTTGCTAACTTTCTTTCTTTCTGATCAACCTCGCTTTCTTTCTTTGCTAACTTTCTTTCTTTCTTTCTGATCAACCTCGATTTCTTTCTTTCGTTCTTATCTACCTCTCTTTCTTTCTTTGCTAATTTACTTTCTTTCTTTCTTTATTTTTTTGTTCAGTTTTATTTTTGTCTTTCTGTCTGTCGGTTTTCCCTTTTATTTTCGTCTAGTTTCGCTCGTCAAAAATAGGGAAAATTATTTTAGGGTAATAATTTGTAATAATTTTTGTAGATCAGCATTCGTTTCATTGTCTCCACACATTTGCGCGAATCGAGAAACACAGTGTCAATTTGATCCCTGATTTATTCATATATATATATATATATATATATATATATATATATATATTATATTCATTTATTATTCTGTTTGTACGCTTTTTTACATATTTGAGTTAATGCTCACATTTTTCATCCGTATAATATTTTACTATTTCTTAAAGAAATGAAACTGTATTCAAAAATATAACTTCAACGAAACTACAACATAAAACACATATCACTGCATCAAGTAGTCATGTTCACATAAACATGTATATGCACAATCTTAGTATCATCTACCATGTACTCAAGTGTGAAAGCAGAATAACATATCATATTTTTATTTCTTAGAAACTCTGAGAAAATTAAATTTCGGTATTACATGACACATAAGGAGTTGATATGTCGTTAAAGAAATGAAACAAAGAACAAACAAACAAAATATTTAAGTTTCTATTATTTATCTATTTAGTTAGCTTGCTATCTATCTAGCTAGATTTATCTAAGTTTTTTTTTCTTTCTTTATATCTATCTATCTCAATCCATCTAAGTTTCTATCTATCTATCCCAATCCATCTAAATTTCTATCTATCTATTTATTCATCTATCTATCAATCTATCACTTTATGTTCCTATCTATCTATCTATCTATCTATCTATCTATCTATCTATCTATCTATCTATCTATCTCTGTTCATATCTATGTATTTATCTATCTATCTCAATCCGTTCATACAAAATATCTGTAGTTAAAGGCATACAAATGTGCTCAAAACGTTTAAACTTCAGCATTAAATAACCCAAAGAGGTGTTGATATGCTGCTAAACAAAATAAAGCAACTAAACAACCAACGTGAAAGAACTCTGTCATGACATTAATCCATATATCTTGCAATTTTTGGAAGAAATCAAACCATATTCCAAAATATAACTTCAACAAAAATACAACATATAAAATACATATATCTAGTAATTATATCCACAAAACTACAACATATAAAACACGTATATCTAGTAATTATATCCACAAAGCAACATGTAAAATACATATATCTACTAATTCTATCCACAACACATATGTCCAGTATTTATATTAACAAAACTACAACATATAAAATACATAAGTCAAGTAATTAAACCCACAAAACTACAACATATAAAACACATACATCTAGTAATTATATCCACAAAACTACAACATATAAAACACATACATCGAGTCATTATATTCACAAAACTACAACATATAAAAAACATATGTCAAGTAATTGTATCCACAAAACTACAACATATAAAATACATACATCTAGTAATTATATCCACAAAACTACAACATATAAAACACATACATCTAGTAATTATATCCACAAAACTACAACATATAAAATACATATATCTAGTAATTATATTCACATAGCTACATGTAAAATACATATATCTAGTAATTATATCCACGAAACCACAACATATAAAAGACATATGTCTAGTAATTATATCTACAATACTACAACATATAAAACACATATATCTAGTAATTATATCCACAAAACTACAACGTATAAAAAACATGTCTAGTAATTGCATCGACAAACCTACAACATGTAAAATACATATATCTGGTAATTATATCCACAAAACTACAACATATAAAACACATATATCTAGTAATTATATCCGCAAGACTACAATGTATAAAATACATACATCTAGTAATTATATCCACAAAACAACAAAATATAAAAGACATAAGTTTAGCAATTATATCCACTAAACTACAATATATATATAACACATATGTCTATTAATTATATCCACAAAGCTACAACGTATAAAACACATATGTCTAGCAATTAATTATACAAAACTACAACTTATGAAACACATATATCTAGTAATTATATCCACAAAACTACAGCATATAAAACACGTATATCTCGTAATTATATCCACAAAGCTACATGTAAAATACATATATCTAGTAATTATATCCACGAAACCACAACATATAAAACACATATATCTAGCAATTATATCCACAATACTACAATATATAACACACATATGTCTAGTAATTATATCCAGAAAACTACAACATATAAAATACATACATCTCGTAATTATATCCACAAAACTACAACATATAAAAAACATAAGTCTAGCAATTATATCCACAAAACTACCACATATATAAAACACATATGTCTATTAATTATATCCACAAAACTACAACGTATAAAAAACATGTGTCTAGTAATTATATCCACACCATACAACATATAAAATACATATATCTAGTAATTATATCGATAAATCTACAACATATAAAACACATATATCTAGTAATTATATCCACAAAACTACAATATATAAAACACGTATATCTCGTAATTATATCTACAAAACTACAATATATAAAACACATACATCTAGTAATTATATCCACAAAACTACAACATATAAAGCACATAAGTCTATCAATTATATCCACAAAACTGCCATATATATAAAACACATATGTCTATTAATTATATCCACAAACTACAACGTATAAAAAAGATGTCTAGTAATTATATCCACAAATCTAAAACATGTAAAATACATATATCTAGTAATTATATCCACAAAACCACAACATATAAAACACATATATCTAGTAATTATATCCACAAAACTACAACATATAAAAACGTATACAATTATATCTGCATGTAAAATACATATATCTAGTAATTATATAAACGAAACCACAACATATAAAACACATATGTCTAGTAATTATATCCACAAATCTACAACATGTAAAATACATATATCTAGTAATTATATCCACAAAACCACAACATATAAAACACATATATCTAGTAATTATATCCACAAAACTACAACATATAAAACACGTATATCTCGTAATTATATCCACAAAGCTGCATGTAAAATACATATATCTAGTAATTATATAAACAAACCACAACATATAAAACATATGTCTATCTATTCATAATTTATACATCTAGTAATTAAACAAAAAGTAAATATATAAAAACATATATGTCTATTAATTATATCGACAAAACTACAACGTATAAAAAACATGTCCAGTAATTATATCCACAAAACACAACATTTAAAATACATATTAGTATCCACAAAACTACAACATTTAAAAATACATATCTATTAATATATCGACAAAACTACAACATTTATGTCCATATCCGCAAGACTACAATGTATAAAACACATACATCTAGTCATTATATCCACAAAACTACAAGATATAAAACACATATATCTAGTAATTTTTCCACAAAACTACAACATATAAAACACATGTCTTGTAATTATATCCGCAAGACTACAACATATAACATACATACATCTAGTAATTATATCTACAAAACAACAACATACAAAACACATAAGTTTAGCAATTATATCCTCAAACTACAACATATATCAAACACATATGTCTATTAATTATATCCACAAATCTACAACGTATAAAAAACGTGTCTAGTAATTATATCCACAAAACTACAACATATAAAACACGTATATCTCGTAATTATATCCACAAGCAAAAATACATACATCTCGTAATTATATCCAAATACTATATAAAACACATAAGTTTAGTTATATCCACAAAACTAAACATATAAAAACACATTAAAATATCGACAAAACTACAACGTATAAAAAACATGTCCAGTAATTATATCCACAAAACTACAACATTTAAAATACATATGTCTAGTAATTATATCCACAAAACTACAACATTTAAAATACATATATCTATTAATTATATCGACAAAACTACAACATATAAAACACATATGTCTAGTAATTATATCCGCAAGACTACAATGTATAAAACACATACATCTAGTCATTATATCCACAAAACTACAAGATATAAAACACATATATCTAGTAATTTTTCCACAAAACTACAACATATAAAACACATATGTCTTGTAATTATATCCGCAAGATTACAACACATAAATTACATATATCTAGTAATTATATCCACAAAACTACAACATATAAAACACAAAGTTTAGCAATTATATCCACAAAACGTATAAAACACATATGTCTATTAATTATATCCACAAAAACTACAACATATAAAACACATATATCTAGTCTATATCCACAAAACTAAACATATATATATTCTACAATTATATCCACAAAACATATAAAACACATACATCTAGTAATTATATCCCCAAAACTACAACATATAACACACATATGTCTAGTAATTATATTCACATAACTACAACATATCAAACACGTACATCTAGTAATTATATCCACAAAACTTCAACATCTAAGACACATATGTCACGTATTTATTTCCACAAAACTACAACATATAAAACAATTATATCTAGTAATTATATCCACACAAACATGCATATTCTCAAAAGCTGAGTTTCATCTACCCTGTAGTCAACTGTGAAAGCAGAATTACATATATCCTATTTTTAATAATTCAAAGCTCACAAGAAAGTCAAATTTTTGGCATTGAATGACCCATAAGGAGTTGATATGACGTTGAACAAACAAATCAAATCAAATCAATCTTACAGGTATTCGCTATTTCCTATAGGTTTCTGCTAACTCTTTTGATGACGCTGGACCCTCATAATAGCGTTGACTCTAAAAGAAATAGTGTACGCAGTGGCAGATTCAGCAGACAAGGATTAGCCCGAGAAGCGCCAGGCGTTACTGATTGCAGACAGGACCGGAATGGTTCTCAGTGATGTTTAAATTTTTATTTTGGTGGCGTTAAAATTAACAAGATATACCTTGCCCCTGTTAACAAAAAATTATAGGTCATTTTTTAGATCGGCTGCCAGTTTGATCCAATCGAACCGATTAGACCGGGGAGAAATGCAAGTAAATAAACTATAAGAATATAATAAGCGGTTGCATTTAGATAGTTCAACTGTAAAACGTTGGGACCTAACTGCCAATCTAGTTGTACGCTTAAATTCTTGCGGTCGAGATACTAAGAAGCAAAACTCATCAGACGAATTGACATGGAAATATTTGTAGAAAATACAGAAGGAAGCCACGTCACGTCGATGAGAAAATGATTGAAATCGAGATGCCAGATCAGGACCAATTATATAACAGACCTTTCTTTGGATTTTGTCAAAAAATCTCGAGAGCGGGAGCAGCAGACAAGATATGGCAGCATTATTCGATGTACGGATGTGTGACAGATATATAAATGTGCATGATGGATTCTGGCGAGAAAAATTATCTGACATGACACAGTAAACGAACCTTCCTAGAAATAGACGTAGCAAGATTCACTAAAATCGCTCCACTTCATATCAAAGGAAAACTTGAGACAAAGAAGATGCAAAAATGTTGAACCCGGTAAAGTTTTGGGAAATTTGAAAATGTTGGCCTAACACCTGCAGCCTGCTTCATGAAAATATGGGACAAAGAAATATCCCAAAGACATTTTTTTTAATCATTTCACCCTAAGTGATAGTCACCCGAAACGTAGATCATGAGAACAATAAATATGGACTTATTTCGAGAGAAGCCACGTCACGGTGGAGTTAAAATGACTGAAGTCGAGATGCCAGGTCATGACAGATAACATCACAGCATAACATCCTTTTTTGGATTTTGTGAAGAATCTCCAGATATGCATATCTGTAGCACCAGGCAAGATATGGTAGCAACATTCAAT